CACCACCACCAAAAAAAAAAGATACTTGTCCTCAGGATGGGAACCCAAAAGTTAACGGGTGCTATAGCAAAGTTTGGTTACTAAACTAGACAGTACCTGACTACTAGATAAAATTGCAGCTGGGGCCTTAAAGGCTTGTTTCTAAATAAGCAGCCATTATATCTTATGGGAAAAATAAGTTCTCAAACATTTCAGTGTTTGAACACTAATTTGGAACAAATTGAGTTGGACAACTGAATATCACTGTATAAATGATTATTTTTTTCAATAAAATATAAATATATTCCCATATCTATAAAATTTGTCTCATATTATCTTGTGGCAGAATAATATTCTGTCATATTGCTGGATAATTAATTATGTTACATTTTTTGTAATAATATGAATATCAATGAACATCTTCCTTTTTTAGAATATTTCTAAGCATATGATTGCAGTTTTTAAGTATATTTCATCAAGATTTTCAATGTAAATTATCAAGCCATAACCTGAGAGGTTATACTCCAAGAAAAATAAAGTAATTTTTGGAACTTATTCAACATTGAATATTGACAGAAAATATGCCCAATTATAACTGAAGAAAAAAATAATTTTCTCAATGTTTGACATCTACTTCCATGACTTCTAGTACGATGAATGTCACCATGCATTTTGTCTTCTGTTCCCTTATGACATTGTTTAGGTGCTTTGTATGGTCGGTGCTTACTTCACTTTCAATTAGCAAGAGTCTTCCCTTATTTAAAATATTAAGTAATTACCACCTCCACTGAAAACAAGTTTCCTTTTTGCCTTTTTATCTTTTAATTTGTATAAATACCAAAGTATCATTTTTTTCACGTGCCACACATTAAATGCTTATTTATCCCGATAACGTAAAACTAGACATCCATATTATTACCTGTCATTGTGTGACTTCATGCCTTACATTTAAATTGCTAACATATCAGAAATTTATATTGGTGTGAATAAATTGAAGTAAAATAGAAACTAGAGCGGAAAGCTTTAGGTGGTTAGCAACTTGTCAAAAATTACGTATTAAATAATACATTATACTCATCTGGTTTGCTACTTACTTCACCTATATTTACATGTCAATACCTATATTATATATCTCTGCATATGCACATGCACATATAGCTTTATAGCTCTGTCTCTTCCCGTATGTATATGTATATAGCGAGAGGAAGGAGAGGGACAGAAAAGGAGGGAAGGAGGCGGAGAAGTAAATGTGAAAATAGGAATTCCTATCCTATGTCATTGAGGTGCTGTGTCTTCCTGGTGTCACCACTGTTTTAAAGAATTACTTTACCTTTACACATACCTTCCTCTCCAGTATGGGAAAAGCTCCCACCCTCACCCTAGCTCTTGCTTTCGTGTTTCTAACCGTCTTGCCTGACCGGTTTATTTTTACTCGGTTTCTTAGTTGGGGTTTTTTTTGTATTTATTTTCTTTCCATCTACAGGTCTTCGAACCTTTAAAAAGACCTGTCATCACACATTCCTGGCTTCAGAAGTTGGTCTGTTCCAGGGAAAACTTAGCAGTCAACAATGAGAGATAAAATCCCATTGCGTTTCTATAGAAATGAGCCTGATCCGCATCAGCGCTGGCCCTGTGTTTTGCCAACTCCACACTGAGCATACAGCAAGAAGCAGGAAGTGAGGCAATGTAAGTGCCTGACAGAATTCGCACCACCACACCCTAATGTATTTCTGGAAAGTGCGTGTGACATCTATTTGGATACACAGCTATCTTCATACTCACCAGGATATGCTAAATAGAGTAACAACCCCAAAGGCGGTCTGTTTCAGAAAAAAAATCAGAAAGAGGGTGAAAATATGTCTTGTCTATGCACAAAACAGAAATGTGGAGGCTTTCCTAAGGCTGACTATAATTCAGGAGGAGATAAACTAGTGTGTTTCAATGTTTTGATCATTTGACTGCTCTAACCAAGAATGTATTGAGTCCTACCCGGCATGGCTGGAACAGTAATGATAATGTCCCCTCCTTGCAAACAGATGGAAGGTGTCATTTTGCAATGGTTTCCTTGGTGCAGCAGAAGAATCTACACTCAATTGCCCAGACGTTTGTATCTGGTAGGCTTTAGGGCTCAGGGCAATACCCGCGAGATTGGCTGGCATGAGATATGCAGTCTGTGGTTGAGGAAAAGTGTCATATTGTGTGGCACACATTGAAATTACACGCAGGCCCATGGCTGTGTTAGGGAGCTCTGGTGGCTCTAGAGGATAAGGATTATAGGTTGCAAAGTGCAAGGTCAGCAATTCAAAGCCACCAGCCACTCCTTGGGAGGAAGAGAAGACTATCTGCTCCCATAACAATTTACAGTTTCAGAAATCCTATATTGAGTCACTAAGAGTCTGAATCTATTCAAGTCTGAATCTATTCAATGGCAGTGTGTGCTGAATATGTTAGGTGTCAGTAACACAATGTGATCACTGTGTTCTGATTAATTGGTACTGACTTAAAGTAGACCCACACATTAAGCACAGATTAACCTGCTTGGTTGGCCTTCTGGTCCTGTCTCTTGACTACATCCATGGATGGATGAAGGCAGCATTCCATACCAGACGCCAATCTCATGATATTTCCTGGAAAAAAAAATAACCCATGAGGTAATAAGACTACCATACTTTTTCAGCACATGAAACACCCATGTACATAACACAATCAGTGTACATTGGAAAACAGCTAGTGTGGTTGTGTGGTTTTCTAAAACCTCTTAATGTATGTTATTTGCAGAAATATGCGTATTTTATCCTTACTGTTAACCAACCAATAAAAACTAGGAATGGGCAGTGGGAATTCCATGCCTTTACTCCATTCTATTTAACATACCCTGAGAAGCCATTCCCCTTAAAAAATCTTTTTGCTTACTTAAGAGCAATCCATCAGGGTTTGCACTTATGTCTAGAAGGTGGTCTTTGCAAATCTTGTTTCAATTGGAAGGAAAGAAGAAAAGTTGATTTTTTTTTAGGTCTTCCTTTAAAATGAAATCCCCCGGCTGTCAAAGTCGCTTTATTCCAATGGAGTGGCTGCATAATGAGTCTCCTTTATGACTGCTCCAAAACACACTTTCAAAACAAGTCAGAGAGCTCCAAGATCCGTTCTCAAGAAAGATGTTTCTGTTGAAATCCCGTTCTGACCTTTTTGTTGAAGAGCAACAAAATAATGTAGTAACAAAAACACAAGTGGCTGCCAAAGGAAAAGAAAAAAAAATTTTAAAAGTTCCTGTAAGAGACTGGAACAATAAATCTCCTCTCTGCGGAACTCCCAGAGGGAATGCGTGCATTTCCTGCCGTTCTTTATCGGAGCCCCCAAAATAAGTTGAAATGGGGAGTGTCTGCTCAGACTCAGAGCACCTTTTCCATTTGTTAACACAGCCTTGCCTGGCTGGTAGCGAGTGCTCTCTGCTTGACTTTGGAGAGGGCAGCTACTGAGACTGCTCCACAGTCAACATGAACTTGCTTCAAGGGACCATTCTTTCTCTGCTTCTATCTGGTCTTTGCTGCAGCGAATCCAACCCAGGTACCCTTTTCTGTTGTTCTTCTGACTCTTTGGATGAGAAATGACAAGTAGAAGGTTCTAAGCCTTCTTTCACCTTCAAGAAGCTTCTGTTACTTAGCTTCGCTGAGTTGAGTGTGTAGGCAATGACTAGGCTGGCCCGGGCAGGCTCTGGAGAGAGTAGGGTAGTTTTCGCTGAAGGGCAATGTGGTCTCTAAGCTTGTTTGATGTCATCCTGAAGGTGTTGCAAACAGAGAATGACCTTTGTAAAGAACAGAGATCTAGGGAGAGAATGCTAGTTAAAAGTACTGTTTTTCAACGTGTCTTTCCAAATACATATCTACTGAAAAAGAGATTGTTGTCTATGTGCTTTGGAAATATTGTGCTGCAAGTACTGGCCTGTATTTGCTCTATTTTTCAGTTGATAGGGTGAGAAGTTAGCTAAAGCTAATGAAGTGAAGCTTAATATTTTAAGAATGGGGATAAGGAATACTTTAATGAAAGTCTATAAAATTTTGCTCCAGAAATTTGCATTCTTTTATGTACATACATATACACATTTTGTAAACATTTCAAAAAATTGATAGACACACACAGAGAAACATTCACCACAGTGTACAAAATTCATATAAAAGGTATATATGTATCTACATTAGCTTCAACTATATTAATGACTTGTTTCAAGAAATGCCTATATATTTGATTTCTTATTGTGAGTGAGTTCATAATAAGCAATTAAAGACTTCCAATATTTATTAGACTCCTATGTCATACTTGGTAGAGTAAGAATACAAAACTGAGTAAGACGCAATCTCTACCCAGGGGAAATAAATGCTCTATTGTGATGAAGGGCATATAATTCTAATACAACAGGGAGTTAATAGGCCTTAAAACCAAGGTGAAGTCCCTGTACTTTCTTAGCAGCAGCTGCTAACCAAAAGGCCTGAACCAGCGACAGAGAACCCTGAGGAGCCCAGTTCCACTCTGACTTCCATAAAGCCCCTGAGAGCAGAAATCTACTTACTGGCAACTGTTTTTGTTTGTTTGTTTTTAATCCACGCTATAAACAATTTAAAAAGAAACCCAATGGGGAAAAATAAACAATAAACAAAAGCAGTCCATGAAGGGCTATGAGAAAATGAAACACAGAAACTCATTTCTAATTTTATTCCATTTGTGTTCTTTTTTTTTAAATCATCTTTTAGGGGCTCATACAACTCTTATCACAATCCACATATACATCAATTGTGTAAAGCACATTTGTACATTCATTGCCCTCATCATTCTCAAAATATTTTTTCTCTACCTAAACCCCTGTGTTCTTATCAAACGCTTGCTGCCTTGAAATATTCAATTTCCACAGGTGCTATAGGGAAAAAACATGCACATTCTCCTGGAACAACATCTACCTAGATTTAAGAGATATCCCCAGACAATTTAAAATCACATAGAACTGCTAAAAATACCATCTTGGAGTTTCCTGGATTAAGATGCAGCAGGTACCAAGGCCAACAGAGGGTAAGCTAGATGAGCTACGAAGAATCTGATACTAAAAAAACAACGAATGTTTATGAGGCATCTTAGAAATCAATGCACTCATTATAAATAACTCTTTAGTATTCACAGGAAAGACCGATAGGACTCTCCTTGCCATGAAACACACTGCTCGCTACCATGTCAGCTCAATAGAAATTCAGAAAGTCAGAATCGGGCCACTCCCTGTGGTTCCAGGTCTGTAGGCATCAGTGAGTTCACGGCTCTGCTGGCATCATTAGACTGGCTGAGTTACACGTGCTTCTGAAAGCAAAACAGGATCAATAGAAACAGCCTGCCAAGCATGGCTGGAAGGAAGATGTGAAGAACATCAGAGAGATGAGCTGGCAATAATTTTATATTACAGTCATGGGGGGTCGGGTGGGAAATACCAACCTGTTTTAGCTTATTGTTAATGATCTTGCTATAAACAATGTTGGCTTTTCGTGAGCTATTAGCTAATAGAAGGTAACTATATGAGCAGAGACAACTGAAATAAGTATCTCTCTCAACCAACTATTGGCTAATTTAAAGGATAGCTACAATAAAACTACCTAATTTATCCCAGGAAAAGAAAATATTGCTCACAAACATCAATTGATCATATGAGTCTTGCTAGAAGGAATTTGAAGAGATTTCTCCATCTGTGTGTGTGTGTGTGTGTGTGTGTGTGTGTGTTCTGAAAATAAAGGGAATCTTCCTACATAGTAGTGAGTGATTTTCTACTACTTAGTAGGTGGTATCATATTTTAATATCTCAAATTTGAAAAAGAGTTCTATTGCATCCTCCTTCCTCAAATTTTCTAAGCTGTATTTACAGTTGAATAGAGACCAACAGTGCTTTCTTTTGAGTTTAAATTTAGGCCAATGGAAGTTCTGAGAGAAATTAAAGATGGGTTTAATATTTGCTTTTTGAACTTTATATTAATTTAAGAAAAAATGTAAAATATTTTAGGCATTTGCCTATGATATTATTGCACTGGTAGCATTAAATCAAAGAAAATTTAATTGCTTGGAGAAATAAATTTACTAGCAATTAAATATTTAATTTCATGAAAAAATATTGAATAGACTACCAGGCAGATAATGCTAAATCCTACATTTACAGAGACCAGTAAGATTCAATCTTGAGGTGGCTCAGGGGAAGAATTAGTTTAAAAAAAATTATAACTTTGTTATGTTGTAGACCTTCCAAAACTCGGTTGATGCCGATGGCTAGAGACACTATAAGACTCTGTAGAACTCCCCCTATGTGTTTCTGGGACTGTAACTCTTTTGGGGAGAAAAAAAAAAAGGCCTGTCACCTTGTCTTTCTCCTGTGAAGTGCCTGGTGATTTTGAACTGCTAACCTGTAGTTAGCAGCCAGAGTAACCACTATGCCACCAGGGTTCCTGCATTGTAGAAGGAAATAAAGTACAAAACATAGAATTAATAGGTATATTGGTTGGGGTGTGATTACACCAGGAAAAAACATAGCATTCAGGACCCATTTGTTTAGAACCTTTTCATCGCTACTCATTTAAAAATAACTGCTACATAAACATCGACACGATCTCTTTGCATCTGTGTCTTCAGGAGACCCTACAGCATGAGTTTCACAAATATATTTTTGGTAGTTTTTGTTTTATTGATTTTTATTACTCAGACATGTAAGAAAATTAGATGAACATTTGAGGATTTCAAAAATATTTTATTGTACTGAATAATAGGCCATCTTTTCCTTTTCTGGTGAAATTAGATTTCAAACTTTCGGTAAATGTCTCAAGGTGTGACCACATATCTAGTTTAAGTTGGTCATGTTGTAACCTCGGCTGATATCTACCACTCTTGCACCAGACACATTATACAGTTTACTTCATCACAACATTTCAAGATGAGCCTTGTTATGTAATATTATTTGTAAACAGAGGCAACTAAGGTGTTGTGAACTTACTAAGGAGTTGTCGATTCAATTCAAACCAAGGGATCTTGTGCAAACCCTTCCCCTAGAGCTTGCTACCTTCCAGTGCAAACAAGAAAGAAAGAAAAATCCTCCCTTCGAATGTAGCGAAACCTCATTGAGAAGAATAAAGATAAGGATTGCTACGTGAATAATTTAGAAACCATTGCTACTTCTCAGAGAAACTCCTGTGTAACCACCAAGGGAGATCACAGGGCCATGGTCTGGACAGTGTTTCCTTCTGGACAGTGTTTCCTTCTGTATGCCATGCTGCCCAGAGTTGGAACGAAGCTGACCGTGCCTGACACCAAGTCCACAGTATCAAAGGTAACTTCCTGCTGGGACACACCAACCTCTTAATGTCCCGGAGGCAATGAATTCTTAGGGGATGAGTTGGAAGCTATTTTAGACATTGGCCTACTAGGCATTTTTATGTTGGTGGTGGGGGACAAAAAGTGTTTGGCTAAAATATAAATAAATGTCAGTCAGACAATATGGGACCAGGAGGAGAAAAATAATATAATCAAAAGGGAAATCACTCTTAGTGATTTAATGCCTCCCTGTCACATTTATAATTTTGCTAGAGCCAGGCTGTCTGGGCCCAGATTCCAACTTTTCTACTGTCTAGCTGTATCAATATGAGGAAATTACTTAACCTTGAGCTTCCTCAGTTGTAAAATCGCATCAAGTATAGTCTCTACCTCATAAGGAGTATCGCAAGAGGTAAAATACGATAGGGCTTCAACTATTTCATGGAAAAACTCCATTTTATTAGCAAACTTTTAGATTCTCCCTCATATAAATGTTGTTGTTTCAAAGACCTATAATGTATTCTATCCTATACCTTAAATCTAATGCTGTTGTCTCCAATTTGATTCCAAGTCAGGATTGGCAAGTATTCAAACAATACTAATGTTAGCTCACACATAATAATAGTGGGGGAGACAGTATATGAAAGGTTTTTATACCAGGATTGTGATAGAACCCTAGAAAGAGAATTTACCAATTCATTTTTTTTGTCACAGCATATACAATTTAGTTAATATTCAAAATGGTGCACCATCTGAAATGTCTTTCAGATGTATACATTGTTTGACTCAATTATATAAATTAATAATTCAAATTAACAATCAGATTTGTGATTATATTGAGCATTCTAATTTTTTAGTGAGAGAATAGTAAACATCCTCAATTTTATTACCTTTCTCAAAGTTTGATTACTATATAATCAGGAAAGTCTCTCCATCCTTGCTTCTAAGGAGCATTCTGGTTGTACTCCTTCCAAGACAGATTGGTTTATTCTCTTGGCAATCTATGATATTTTAAGTATTTTTTAATAGCAGATGAATAAGAAGGTATTATGTACATTTGGTAAATATTCTTTACCCTTTTGGCCTTTAACTCTCAACCATTAGTTCTCTTTGAGACCCAATACCTTCCTTTTTGTTTTTTGTTAATGACTGCT